ACACCGCACAACATAAAGTATTTTCCTTCATGGATGGTTTCTCAAGCTATAACCAGATCAAAATGGCACCTGAGGACATGGAGAAAACGACCTTTGTCATACAGTGGGGCATATTCTGTTACAAGGTTATGCCATTCAGGCTGAAGAACGCTGGGGAAACTTATCAGCGCGCCATGGTAACTCTATTTCACAACATGATCCATCATGAAATAGAGGTATATGTGGACGACATGATAGCCAGATCTCAAACTGAAGAGGAACATCTTGTCCATTTGCAGAAACTGTTTGAAAGGCTAAAGAAATACAAGCTAAGGTTGAACCCGAGTAAATGCACATTCGGAGTGAGGTCGAGTAAACTCCTAGGCTTCATCGTCAGCGGTAAAGGTATCGAAGTGGACCCTTCAAAGGTAAAAGCAATACAAGAAAAGCCTGATCCTCGCACCGAGAAGGAAGTCAGGGGATTCTTAGGACGGATAAACTACATTTCCATATTCATTTCTCACTTAACGGCTACTTGTGAACCAATCTTCAAATTACTGAAGAAAGATCAAGTAGTCAAATGGAATGATGAATGCCAAGCTGCCTTTGATAAGATCAAAGAGTACCTTCAAGAGCCTCTTGTTTTGATGCCACCAGTTGAGGGAAGACCTCTGATCATGTATCTAACTGTTTTAGAAAATTCAATGGGGTGTGTGTTGGGGTAGCATGACGAGTTTGGTCGAAAAGAGCATGTTATTTACTACCTGAGCAAAAAGTTTACCGACTGTGAAACAAGATATTCACTGCTCGAGAAAACTTGTTGCACTCTGGCATGGGCTGCTCGCCGGCTAAGACAGTATATGCTGACCCATAATACCTTATTGATATCCAAGATGGGTCCAATTAAATACATATTCGAGAAGCATGCCCTCTCTGGGAGAATAGCAAGATGGCAGATGATCCTGACAGAATACGATATTCAATACACTACCCAAAAAGCAATAAAGGGCAGTGTGTTGGCCGATCACCTTGCTCATCAGGCTGTGGATGACTATCAGTCCATGAAATTCGAGTTCCCAGATGAACACATCAAGATGGTAAACAATTGTGAAGAACTCAAACCATATGATGGACCTGAACAAGGATCCCGATGGACCTTGGTTTTTGACGGAGCCTCCAACACACTCGGCAATGGCATAGGTGCTGTAATCATATCCTCGGAAGGATGTCATACTCCCTTCACCGCAAGCCTTTGTTTCAACTGTACCAATAACATGGCAGAATACAAAGCGTGTATTTTTAGTCTCAAAGCTGCCATATATTTGGGAATCAAGTCCTTAAGTGTATTTGGAGATTCAGCCTTAGTCATCAGTCAGATCAAAGGAGAATGGGACACGAAACACCCTAACCTCATCCCCTACAAAGAACATGTGTTGACATTAATCCCACATTTCAAGGAAATTACCTTTGAGCATTTTCCACGAGAGGAAAATCAACTAGCGGACGCGCTAGCCACTATGTCATCCATGTTTAAACTCAAGTGAGGCAACGAGGCTTGCCAGATTACCATTGAATGGATGGATGAACCAGCCTACTGTCACGAGATCGATACTGAAGAAGTAGTGGACAAGCCTTGGTTCCATGAAGTTAAGAGGTATCTCGAGGCCCAAGAGTATCCGGAGGGAGCTTCAGTCAATGATAAAAAGTTCTTGAGAAGATTCTCTGCTAAATTCTTCCTCAGTAATGGCATCCTTTACAAGCGCAACCACGACTCTACTTTGCTTCGTTGCATACACAAGGTTGAGGCAGACAAGATCATGGCTGATCTACATGAAGGCACTTTTGGCACCCATTCTAGTGGGCACACGATGGCTAAAAAGATCCTACGGGCAGGGTATTACTGGTCTACCATGGAAGCAGATTGCCATCAGCATTCGCGAACCTGTCACAAGTGTCAAAATTTATGCTGACAAAGTACATGTGCCTCCAGTTCCTCTAAATGTCCTGACTTCTCCTTGGCCATTCACGATGTGGGGCATCGATATGATTGGAGAAGTTAAACCTACAGCTTCTAATAGACACCGCTTCATCTTGGTGGCCATTGACTACTTCACGAAGTGGGTTGAGACAGCTTTTTTCACTTCTGTTACCAAGAGTGTTATCGCCCGATTCATCAAACAGAATCTCATCTGTCGGTTTGGTATCCCAGAGAGAATCATCACAGACAATAGTACGAATCTCAATAATACTATGATCATTGCATTATGCGCATAATTCAAGATCCAGCATCATAACTCTTCTCCTTATCGGCCAAAAATGAATTGTATTATCGAAGCCGCAAATAAAAACATCAATAAGATCATACAAAAAATGACAGTAACCTACAAGGACTGGCATGAGATGTTACCATTTTCTCTCCACGGTTACCGTACCATGGCGCGCACATCAACAGGGGCAACTGCCTTCTCCTTGGTATACGGCATGGAAGTTATTCTACCAATTGAAGTCCAAATACCTTCTCTGAGAATCATAAAGGATGCAGGGCTGAATGAAGATGAATGGATTCAAACTCGGCTTGACCAGTTGAATTTAATTGATGAAAAGAGGCTTACGGCTGTCTGTCATGGCCAGATGTACCAAAAACGTATGATCAAAGCTTTTAACAAGAAGGCCAGGCGTCAGGTATATCAGGTCAATGATTTGGTAATCAAGCGTATTATATTGCCACAAGGTGTTCCCAAGGGCAAATGGACTCCTACATACGAGGGACCATTTGTTATCAAAAGCATATTCTCTGGTGGAGCAATGATCTTAACCACTATGGATGGTGACGACCTTCCGCATCCTGTAAACGCGGACATAGTCAAAAGATACTACACATAAGAGACCCGCTAGGTTGACACACCTAGGTAAACACAAGGGCATCCAGGCGAACCACAAAGGTTCGGGCAAAAATTAGGGATAAAATTAAAAAAATTTATACACCCAGCAAGCTGAAAACCTGAAAGGGCGGCTTGGGCAAAAAAGGGTATCCCGGTGGACTGAAAACCCGAAAGGACGGTCCAGGAAAAATTTAGGGAATTAAAGCGTATGACCATGTTCTGTTGGATCACCTTACAGACAACTTCAGCATATACTGACGAATTCAAATGGTTCTAATCAATCCAATCAGCTTCGGACAAAGCAGCAAGTGGATGAGACACTCAGAGGCACGAAGGCTATAGCAGAATGAGAACCCTTGGGATTATTTCACATAGCTATCTTTTCTTTGTATCAATTTTCATTTTCTATGGCGACATTCTCTTACTAGAATGCTCGTCTCATTGTATAAAAAATACTTATTCAAGTTAATACAAAGATATCCCTTTGAAAGTGAAAAACTGTCTATTTTTCGTTTTTCTTGTTTTGTTTGCAAAAACGTCCACTGGTTTTTGTTGAACGTATGCATTTGAACGTGATTACTGTAGCGGTGAAAATCGGAGATCAAGCTATTAATTAACTTGACTCGCAAAAGCAAGAGTCGCCACCGCGCTTTATTATTTCCAAGGGAAAAGGGAAAAGAGCGAAATAAAACCCTAAAATATGCAATGTAAGATAAGACTTAAAAGTAATAAAATACAATGCGTTTTTGAAAGAGATCGAGAGTTCGGGGGTTGGTTATACAATGGGAAGGTATTAGCACCCAATGCATCTGCGGTACTCCGCAGGAACCTTTTGAAATATCTGTTTTTGGTTAAAATTGTTTGTTTGATTAAAATGGTTCGTTTTGGCTAAAAATAGGGTATGGACGAGATTTTTAAAGATATGATAACCTAATGTCGAAGTTTTGGCTTAAAAAGAGGTGTGAGTTTAAAAATTGATTTGTAGGAGATTCATCTTAAGATTAATAAAACTAAAAAAGTATGAAGGGATTTCACATAATCGTATTAGATATTCGATGACATGAAGTCAACAAATTAATTCTTTCCATTGGATTTAATCCTAAGCAAGTAGATCTAATGTTCGAACAAGAAACATAAATAATTAAAAATCCACGAGAAACGAACAAGGTAGATAACAAGATAATTGTAAGAAACTAAATGAATAGACAAAGAAAAATCATGAATAAAAGAAAAGTGTAATTAAAAAAAATTATCTAAACTAATTTAAAATTCTAAGGTTACTAAGTAAACTAAACCTAAATTCTAAAGTGTCTAATTAAATAAAATTTTAAAGTTATTAACTAAAACTAAATTAAAATTCTAAAGTTACTAAAATAAAACTAAAACAAAATAAAATTCTAAAGTTTACTAAGTCAAAACTAAAACAAATAAAACTCTAAAGTTTACTAAGTCAAAACTAAAACAAATAAAACTCTAAAATTTACTAAGTCAAATCTAAATGAAATAAAATCCTAAAGTTACTAAAATAATACTACAACACATAAAATTCTAAAATTTACTAAACTAAAGCTAAAATAAAAAGTTATAAAATAAACCTAAATTAATACTAAACTAAATTAATTCTAAGCTAAAGATTAAAATTCTAAGACTAAATTAAAATTCTAAAGTTATCAAAATGTATCTAAACTAATTAAAGGTTCTAACATTACTAATCTATATCTAATTAAATTAAAATTCTAAAGTTATTAATTATGATTCTAAATATTCTAAAGTTATAAAATACATCTAAACTAATTAAAAAATTCTAAATTAATACTAAACTAAATCTAAATATAAGATTTACTAATATATTTTTTATATTTTTAATTAATTAAAACTAATTAATCTAAATAAATAATTAACTTAATTAACTAATGAAATATGTTAAATAAATTAAAGCTAAACTAATCAAATAAATAGTCTTGGGGTTAATGTGGCTAGATTAGCATTAGGATTAAGTCCAAAAAGAAATACTAAACTTAACCTAAATTTTACTAACTCTAATAAACTAAACAATAGAAAAAATAAGAATACAACAGCATGTTAGAGGCTACGCTTCTTTTACCTCAACAGTCAGAAAGAAAAATAACTTAAAGCTTCCTACTTTGACTTCTCAAACCTCATCGTGAGCCAATAGCAGACTTCCTCTTCGTCTCTTAACCATTCTTCTTGATCTAGAATTCGCGGTACAAGATTGACAAACTGATGGCAGAGTTTTTGAAACTGGCAGCGGCGCGGTGGTGTTAACGGAATGGTTGTTGCTTCAGAAATGATCTTTTTGTCCACAAATCTGGTAACGATTCCGCTTATGCTTCTTACCAATTTTCCTTTTTTCTGTTTAAAATTCAAGTTGCCGTTGTTTCTTCTCCTATTTTCTTTTCTCCTGCAAAGAAAAACAGAATTTAGGGGTAACATAATCGTGGATCTGAGTTCGCCGTGGCCGTGGCTGCGTTGAGGACGGAACGACAGAGCGGTTGGATTCGCAGCGTGTTGCTTCGTTGGTGGAGTGGGTGATGGATCTTCAGCAACAGTTGTGACAATTGCGTTGTGCAATTAAAAGTTGCAGCGGCGGAAATCTCAGAGCCAGCACTCCTTCCTTCTCCTGTTTTTGTGAGTGAAAAAATGATTGAAACATGTTTGATTTGGGTAGACTGCAGCGATGGGTATGAAGGTGATGGGAGAGCGAGATCGAGGAAGTAGTATGGTGGAGATAATGAACAGCAAAAACTGCCTCTTGTATATTTTTTCTCGTTTTTTTTTCTGGATTAAACAGATTTTATCTTTCTGCCCTCTTCTTTGTTTATCTCGAAATATTAATTCTCCTTCGTCTAAAATTTATTCTGTTGTGTTTCTCAGTGTCATTGTCTTGCTTTATCTGTTGCGATGTTGTTTGTTGTGAGGTCGTAAGCATGGTGAGATATGTGAGAATTTGACATTTAGGGTCAGTGAGGGGTTTAAGGGCTGGTCTGTGCGTGAGGTTTAAACGGTTGTAGAAGGTGTGATGATGGATTAAAGATAGGTCGTATAAAGTTGGGGCATGGTTTATGCAGAGGTTATGACATAATTTTGGGAAGAGTTTTGAGAGAAGATTAAGTAGAACTTGGATGGTTTTGAGGTTTGGTTCTCTTAGATGATGATGGATGATTTTTTTGTGTCCTCCGTTCTGTTTTCAAAGTCTGAGTTTTATGGCCAGGAAAGAAAGAAAAAAGAATGAATTTTGGGGGGAAAATGGTTGTGAAATTGGGAGGGAAAAGTTGGTTTTATTGTCACTGTTTTATTGCTTTTTATGATGCCATTTTTGTGTTGCTATTTTGATGTTTATGTACAGGGCAGCAGTGGTATAGAAAGGCTTTGGAGCAGTAAGAAGGTATCAGAATTTTGGCAGTATAGTAGTATACTTTTGGCAGCATAGTAGCTTTGAGAACATGGCTGTTTTTTTCTTTACATGTTTTGGGTTTTTTGCAGATGAAGCAGGCCAGTGTTTAGATAGCAGCATGATTGTTTTTGTTCATATCTGGTAGCAACAACAAGGCTATTTTTTGGGTGCAAGCTGGAGTATGATAACATTATTTTGGACAGATTCGGAAATAGGAGACAAGATGGAGAGAAGCTTGGATTTGGGTTAGCACTCTTGAAGACAAGATGTAAAAATTTAGGATTTTGGCATATGACTTCATGGTATAAAATGATGCAAACAAAACTTGATTAACTTGTGTTCTTTAGAAGGAATCATGAATCAAAATGATGATATTTGGAAATAAGCTTAGGGAAAACTTGAGTCATTGTGACATTGTATCCACTTGAACGTTGGACTACCTTGGTATCCAATCTTTTTTGAATTCGACTTTGCATTTCTTTTGTGATTTTGAACTTGTAATGAACATCTTGTAATGATTTTGTTCTATGAATAATCGTGTGATGATATTGATGTGGTCCCACTCTGCAATTTTCTTTCTCTATTTTTGACAAAAACAAACAAATAATAACATAATAGTAACAATAATATAAGAAGAAGAAAAAAAAGTATTAGTAACAATAAATAAAATAAAATAATAAAATGCAACAATGATAATAACAATAATGAGAACAAAAATAAAAATAATTAGTAACAATAAAAGATGAAATAATAAAATACAATAAAGATACTAATAATAATAATAATAATGAGAAAAAGGGAAAATAGTTAGTAATATCTAAAAGAAATAGAAATAGATTAAAATAAGAAAAAAAAAATAATAAGACAGATTTTTGAACTAAAACAAATTCATTGGAAATATGATAGAAAATGCAAATGATAAACTATTTTAATTCTTTTTTTTTAAAATAGAAATTAAAATGATGAATAAAAACAAGAAAGTATGCGAAATGATTGATTTTTCAAATTAACGACAAAATATGCACCAGTCGAAAAAAGTGAAGGGGCGAAAAATAGGGTGCGACAGTTGTGCCTTGATGAATCAGTCTTCGAGAATCCATAATCAACCGTACTTTTGGCTTGGGAGACTCAAAACCTTAATTGAGGCGCGACACCTGATGCTCTTGATTCAGACCTGTTTCTGCACATGACATCAGAGAAACTAAAAACATACACTTCGTGCTTGATTAGAAGTTAGTGATACATAGGCTAGGAATGTTCAAAACACTTGACAATCTTCGCATAGTCAATGCTTGAAGGTGAGAGATTAAAATCGACTGTATTTCGTGACCTTGACTTATCTTTAAAAAAATGCAAAAATAAAAATGGGATCTTAGGTCAAAAATTGGGGTACAACAATTACTGTTTACAAATGAACAAAAAATGAACCGAAAATAGAAAGACAATCGCTAATGGCTTTAAGAAATAGGATAATATCTTTAGACTATTCCATAAAATCCTCCGCATGTACTTTTCCAGCAAGAGTGGAAACCACGACATCCCACTACATGATCGCTAACATATCTCCAGTATACATCCTAATGGCATCAAGTGCTCTCACATCCCCGACGGAACATAACTTTCGGTTACCACTCCAAAGGTTCCCCAGTGAAAGTCGTCCAGTTTCTCAGGATTCCCCAGCAGGATTTCACAAAGTTCCACAAGCAATGCACATTGTTTCCCTTACACAACAAAGTTTATTTCTCTAACAATTGGAAACTCATCAACACTTCAAAACATGAGGACTTGCACTCCCCATTCTCAACAATGCTCAGGGATTTATTTTCCCCAACTCCAGCAACACTGCGAAATAACAATTAACGTGTCCAGACATTACATCCATACGTCATAGCATTAATAACACCGATACATACGACATAATCTCATGTATTTTGAGAACATAATTACACCATGCATTTCATACATCATGACATTGCATGCAACTAACCTTTCATATTTTCAGGAAAGATCAATCAAACAGAAAATAACCGTCAAATTTTCAACAAAGTTAACTACATATCAATTCCCAAGAAAGGACTGGTCAACCATCTACCTAACAGATATTTCTTTCAGACCCCTGCTGGTTCAGTTTAAATCTCTCAACGATTTATTATGATTCTTTCCCGCAGACGTCTTCTCTGGTTCAGAAAAATATCTCAATGATTTGTTCTGATTCTTCTCCAGATGCCTGCTGGTTCAGTTTAAATATCTCAACGATTTATTCTGATTCTTTCCTGCAGACGTCTTTTCTGGTTCAGATAAATCTCTCAACGGTTTATCCTGATTCTTCTCCAGATCCTTGCTGGTTCAAATTAAATCTCTCAACAGTTTATTCTGATTCTTTCTCGCAGATGTTTCCTCTAGTTCAAATAAATCTCTCAATGATTTGTTCTGATTCTTCTCCAGATCCCTTCCGGTTCAGATAAATCTCTCAATAATTTATTTTGATTCTTTTCGCAGAGACTTTTTATGGTTCAGATAAATCGCTCAAATATTTACTCTGATTCTTTCCAATTAAAGAATATTTAAGATCTCTTTTGGTTCAGTTAAACCCCTAAATGGTTTATCCTGATACTTTCCAAAGTAACACTTCTGGTTCAGATAAATTGCTCCAAGATTTATTCTGATTCTTCCCAGTCAAATAACATACAAGACTTCTTCTGGTTCAGATAATTCGCTCCAAAGATTTATTCTGATTCCTTTCCAGTTGAAATCAAGTTCAGACTTAGTCCATTCTCTGTCAACAGTCACCCTTGGATGGCATCTACAAGCCCATCTCCAACAAATCTCCACCATTCCTCCAAATGGCATCTATAAGCCCATTCACAATCCATCTTCGAGTGCAAATTTCTGGGTACTCTAGTGTCCAATCATCTTCCACCTTCAAGTCACGAATGGCGGATCCGCCAATCTAACTCTTCAGGTTTAAGAAGATTGAACAGGGGCAACTGTTGTACCCAAAAAATTTCCCTCTCATTTATCAAGTATTTTCTTACAAGATCTCCTTTGGTTCAAGACTGCACAAGGGTTGATCAGCTCAAGACACCTCCTTAAGCACTGATGACTGAAATTAGGGTTTGAGATTGCACAAGTATAATTGAATTTTTAATGCCTCATATGAATTTCATGGATCATTATGGACACCCAAGATTGCTCATGTCAAGTTTCAAGTCTTGGATCACATTTTTGCTCAGTTAATTGATCAGTTGACCTAAAAATCAACTGTATTGGAGAAAAAGTCAACTATGGCCAATTTACAGTCAAACTTCATAATTTTTTATCCATATCAACATTTTGAACTCCTATATGTCATTTGATCAAGTTTGGACCATAATTACTCAACAAATTTGATCAGATCATCAAAAGGGCAAAATGGTCAAAATTAGGGTTTTGATTGAGAAAGGGCAATTTCTGATTTTTGACCTAGCAAATGGTTAATTGGTTTGAGACATGATCTCAAGAGTTCAATTGCATCATTTTGACCTAATTCCATGACTCAAAACATTCCCCAAGATCAATTGATTGATAGTTGATTTTCAGTCAACTGATCAAAAGTCAACTGCATACTAAAAAGTCAAACTTTGACTTTTTGGTCAAAATCAAGTGTCAAAGATCATAATTCATCAAAACATGTCAAAATATGAAACTTGTTCATCAAGAAATCAAAAAAGTCAAGATTTCATTTTGAAAAGTCAAAGTTTCCAAACTTAGAAATTTTTCTAAGTGTTGAAAACTTCATGTTTTTTCACAACTTTGAGCCATTTTTTCACCATGATGCAAGATGATTCAAAGGAAACTTTCAACATGTAAGTTGTAGATCTACATGAGATCTAAAACATTACTTTACACAACTTCTCCTAGAAATTCATGGATTTCAAGTTATGATTTTGTGAATACATGTTCATGAAACTAAACACTTAGTGAAAATTTTGCCCTAGTTTAGGCAGAATTTTGACCTAACTTTATGGTAATTTTTCATACAATTCCAAGGGGAATTTTCAAAAGTGATTCAAAGAGGGGTTATAGAGAACATTACAATATCTCTAAAATTTCCAAGAACTCCTTGAGATCATGTTTGAGCAAGGAGAATCGAAGGCATGAAGTTGCCATTTCATTCTTGAATTATAGGTCATTTTCATGATGAACAAGAATGCAATTTCAATTGTAGGCTACATAATCTTGATTTGCAGGCCTTCTAACTTGTGTATCTATCAATAATTAATGGATTACATAAAATTTTGAGCTATAATCCAAGTGGTTTAAGCTTTATCCAATTTACATTGCCATTTTGGGAAGAAAGTGAAGAATACCATTCTTGAAAAGCAAGCTTTATGCACAAAGTCAATTATTGAGCCTCTAACTTGTTCCCTCTGATCACACTCCATCTACAAAGTCAGAAGCAAGTGTGTTTAAAGCATAACCACTCTGTCTTAGCAAGTACACAAGACTTTGAAACTTGGATTTCTAAAAAAATCACATGTTAT